GTCGGTAGCCGTAACCACACTTGGAATAGAGGTGCCCACAAAATTGGAAGTATCGATGGCGGAGCATCCTTCTAAAGAGTAGGTCTGGATTTGACTACATATTGAGGAATGCATCCATCTTTCATACTTAAGATTATGGAGTTTGAAACGCCAATGTGGAATATGACTAATAAAGACAAAAATTGTAGGACTAAACTACATTTATGCAAACAAACCATTCGAGTACTGATATGGTCGAGTTTGATTCTAATTTAATTTGAGTTTGAATATTTGAGACATGGGTTGGAGTTTGTTTAGCTTTTCGAACTCCAATTCAAAGTTGGAAATTTTCCAACTTTGAAAGTTTGCCATCTGAGTTGATTATTATTAGTTATGTATAATTGTTTAATCTAAAATTATTATATAAACATTTTAAAAAATTTTTTTTATAGAAACAAGTACAAATAACAACTAAATTTACTTAAATTTAAGCCGATCGACTTCCAATGTTTTAAAGTTCAATTAGCTGAATTCTTTTAATTAAATTCTCTCTTTTTCAACTTTTTTTTTTTTATAATGAAACTAAACTTATTGACTAATAAACTATTGATTTTAAACTCTAAAGAAGTGACTTAATAATTAAAAATTTGATATCCTAAGTTAAACATCTTAAATTTAAATTTTAAATTGAGTGGGAATGAATTTAAAAAAAAAAAAAAAGAGTTATTTATTCTTATTTAACCCATCATTATAAACAGGGGCAAAGGCAGAAATTTTTTTCAAGAGGGGTGAAATACTAAAATTTTCAAAGTTTAGGAAAGGTTAAATAATTTTTTATATATTAATTTGCAAGATTTTCAAATTTCAGGGGGCGAGCGCCCCTCCTCGCACCCCTGGCTCCGCCACTGATTATAAAATATACCAAAATAAACTATTGATCCTAAGGACCAACAAAATCCCTTTAAAAAAATATTGACAATAGGTTTACAAAATGACCACTTTCAAACTAACGCATACTAATAGATATTTTATTACTTTATAATTTTTTAAATAATAATTATAATATCTAAAAAAATTAATTTATAAATTAATTTTAATTTATTGAATAATAAATATCAATTATTTTTAATAATTAAACAAAAATATTTTTTAAAATAATATTAACAAATTTTTATGCAATCATAACCATTTTCTTACAAAAATGTGTCTGAAATTTGAGTAGACCTTTTCCTTAAATTTAACCTAAAATAAAATTTGTTAAATTTTATATTTATACCATGCATATTATTATTTTTTTATATAGTTAACATTTTTTATGATTTTTATTTTTATTTAACACCTTTTATAATTTAAAATTCTTGAAAAATATCATATTACTAATAAAATTAAAATGTAAACAAGGAGTGTAACAATAAATTTTTAAAATTTTTATAAACTTTAAATTATAAAAAATGTTAATCACAAAAAAAGAATAATAATAATATACAAAGTATAACTATAAACCAAGAGGGTAGCTATTAAAGATACAGTGCCATATTTAAAAACTAATAGGGGCCACAAGTTATAGAAAGATGATATTGTAGCTTGGCTCCCACCACACAAGTTGTATTATTTTTAATTATTGAAAAAATTTATTTTAATATAAAAACTTATCTTTTCATAAATGATTATAAAAAATACAATTCACATTTAATAGATTAGACCAAGGTTTTTAAAATCGGACCGAACAGGTTGGTTGAACTGATCGGACCAATACCCGATAATAAAAATGGTTTGGTTTACACAAAAAATCGTTTGAGGTCAAAACCGGTCAAAATCGATCAAAATTGATGAAACCGATGGAACCAGTAGAACCAAAAAAATTACCGGTTCAATTTCTCATGCAATTTTTTTTTATTTTTTCCAATTTCACCCTCACCATTCTTTTTTTATACCGATTTTAACCCTTAATTTTAATAAAATTACAAAATTGCTTGCCCCTCTCATCAGATTTCCCTTGTTGTTTGGACTGGTCGGTTCATTAATTGAACCGGTTGAACCGATCAAATAAAAAACCAGACCCAAAAATGGTTCAATGACCGATTCGGTTTTAAAAACCTTGGATTAGACTTTCATTTTCTAACATAGGGAAGGGGTAGACTAGTTTCCAAAAATATTTACCAAAAATGAAATTTCCAAAAATGAATGAGAAAAGGCATTGTAGACTTGTCGTGGCCGTTTTGAGGCAGAGTACAGCAACTCGCCTATGGAAATGACTTAATTTCTCCCCGGCGTTCCTAATGTGACCAATCCATTGATAAAATTCGGTATTTTGACAATTTGGCATCCGCTACGTCACAATCCATGGTGAGTAATGAAGCGTATATATATACTAGTATGTGAATGTGAACAACTAGCTAGTAGTTGCATTAGTGCGTTAAAGTCATAAAAGGAAGAGTGGTCCTGAATTTGAGATGATTTTGACATCCATTTATATCTTCAAACACTGCCCACTTACAAGCACATGAGTATGATGTTAGGTCCTTAAGAAGTGTTAGTGACACTCTCTTTGATATTTTTTTTTTCAAAGTATTTTCACGTGATAAAATTACAAGAAGCGTTAATGTAATAAGTAATTGATATTAAAATTAATGTTTTTAAAATTTGAAATTATAATTAATTATATTAAATTTATATTACATGTGTTTTAATCACACAAAAAATGTTTGAAATGAAAATATTAAAAAAAGTATTATTAACATTTCTCTTTATTATTTGAATTGTATTAATTATTAAAAAAAGAAGTGTTTGCCCATTATGAAGGAACTTTTATCATTTAATGGTTTATATTTTTTAGTGCAGACTTCAAACTATTTCTTTGAAACCATATATATAAACCTCTTAAAGAAAGAAAGAAAACTTTGAAGCAATTGAAGTTATTGCAAAACCTTTTAGCTTTTTAAAAAAAAAAATTTAAAAAAAAATCCACATTTTGGTTATTTCATATTCAAACTCTTAAAGATATTCTTTAAAAACTAGCTAGTATGATCGTAATACTTAACAACATTGCAAGAAAATTTCAGCCTGAATGATAACAAGACACACAAGTTTTGAACTTTGGACAAAATATAAATAAATA